CAAAAGAAGAAATAAAAAATAGAAAATAGGAAAAGTAAACAGAAAAATGGAAAAGAAAAAAATTGGGTTTGGAGCCCACAATCTGTTGGGCTGTTGTGATTCGTTTGAAGGTTTTTCTTTGGGCCTTGTTGATTGAAGCTACTGTTGGGCTTGGTTGGTTTTGAGGCCCACACGAGTTGTTGGCCTATTTGGAATTGTTGTGACCGTCACTCGAGTGCTTGGACTTGTGACCACTTGAGTGATAGGACTTTGTTTTTGTACGTTCGTTGCTACAATTGAGATATTGAAATCTCGTCCGTTTAGTGACGAGTTTTTTCCATACTCTCAACATTAGCTAGTGTGAATCAGAATCAGTTTGCCAGCTAGAATCAGCATGCTTGAATCGGAACTAGTTCACCAGTCAAGTTTGTATGCTTGACAGACCGCCTAACAGAGCCAGTCCGCATCTGCTTGTTTGCAAACCCCTGTCGTATACTGCCATGAAAATAGGAAAGTTTAGAATAAGATTATACTTATTTGGAAGCCCAATGGCTGCCGGAGATGGCCGGAAAATAGCCTCAAAGTTGACTGGTCCGAGGGAAAACTGGAAAATTCGCCTGAAACTAGGTAAACTTTAAACGTTCATAACTTCTTCAATACTCAACGAAATCAAGTGATTTAAAAACAAAAATCATACTTCTCGATGAGAAGAAGAGAATGGTACCTTTTTGTTTATGTCTAACTCACCGTGATTTGGCTGGAAAACGACTCGAAAGTAGCTGTCTTGGTCTCGAGTTAGCCACTTTCGAGCTGTTTTCCGGCCAAACCACCATGATTTAGCCATCTACAAAAGTACCATTCTCTTCGTCGCATCCAGAAGTATGATTTTTATTTTTGAGTCACTTGATTTTGTTGAGTATTAAAGAAGTTATGAACGTTTAAAGTTTACCCAGTTTCTGGTGAGTTTTCATGTTTTCCCTCGGACCAGTCAACTTTGAGGCTATTTTCCAGCTATCTTCGGCAGCTATTGGGCTTCCAAATAGGTATAATCTTATTCTACACTTTCCTATCTTCATTTTGATATATTATAGGTCAAATTTGGTTAAGAAACGATTGAGTTACGAAGCTTTGAAAATTGCCCAAACTTCCGGCCAAGAGCTCCGGGACACTTAACGGAGTTTTTAACGGAAGTACCAAAATGATGGATAGTGGACAATCTCAGAGACCACTTTTATCGAATTGAAATGTTAGGGACCAAAATGATGAGTTATGCAAATGTCAGGGATCATTTTGGCTATTTAGCCCTAACATTATTAATATTATCCTAGAATAATCAATCACTAACATTCCTTATTATTAGGTGTTGAGTTTTATCACAAATGATCTCGGTAATAATAGATATGAGGGCTTATATGGTAATTGTATATTATTTTATCATATTACCGATGTGGGAGTCTATTCTCCAACACGCCTCCTCACGAGCTGTCCCCAGTTTCCACATTGGGAACTGGTCGAATCATTATACTAAAGTAAACATAACTTTTTGAGAGCCCGATCATCATTCAGGGACTAAAGCCAACATAACTTTTCAAGGAACCAGTTATTCAATATCCTTATGATGGAGCTAGCACAACTTTTGAAAAGCCCAACTTAATGAGGCAATTTCGAGCCCAATAAATCTGGTCTGGCATAGTCCACACCACCATTATCATCGATATTATCCTAACTTAACCAACTATTACTAAGTGTTGAGTTTATCACAAAAAGCATTAGTGATATTAATGGTGAAAACTCTCATATATTAATTGTATATTATTTTACCATATAACGGATGTGAGATTCTATTCTCCAAAAAATACTAGCATCACCAATAGGGCTTATGGGAATAACTTCTAAAGCCCTACGCATCACATTTAGAGTTTGGTTGCATTACACAACATAAAAAAAAAAGCAAAGTTCCATCAATTTTATTCAATCATTAAATTTGTCTAAAAAAAAATTAAAATAAATAAATTTACAAAGATCTAAAGGTAATAAAGAAGGAAATAACCTATATATCCCTAAAAGAAGTAGAAATTTGAAAACTAGAGAAGTAAGCAATTAAAGAATAACGGCCTGCTGCTACTTAGTACTAGTGATATTTCTCTTCATTAGTAAGTGAGAGATCTTAGGTTTGATTATCGTCAAAGGTGAATTTGAACCACATTGTTGCTAACCCATTATGAGGCTAAGCCCACCCCTTTCCTTAGTGTACATAATATCGTTTGTTAAACAAAAAATAATGGCATGCTGGAACCGTATAAGAAAGCAACCTCGATCTAGTAGTATTCATCTTCACTTGTAAATGAAAAGTCTTAGGTTTGATTAAGGCCAAAGGTGAAGTTGAACCAGATTATTATGGGAAGCCCATTATAAGGCTTAATCCACTTCTCCACCATTTTAGTGTAAATACTATCGTTTGTTAAAAAAAAAAAAACATAGATGATTACAGATTAAAACCCCAGACATGAAAAGCCAATATTTTATGACTTGCGGTCTTCTTCACATACAATACAAGCCAACTTGAGGTTCTAATTAATCAACGTTTTCAGGGCAATACGTATGACATTGGTAGCTATAATCGGAACACAATTTGTCAGTAACTTTTGAACCAGTATCCCAAGAGGTTTAAGCACATTTCCAACCCATTGTTCTAATCTACATAATTGCTATAAAACTTAATTCTGTAACCAAAATTCCATTCAAATTTGTTTACAAAAGTTTTAAGATGGGTACTAGTTTAATCCAAAGACGGAGGTTGAATAGGTTTCAACTTAAAAATCTAGAATAAACTTCATATAAGTCCAATTTTGTTAGTCAATATTTGGTTTAGTCCACTTTGTTGGATTACATTCATTACTGATTATCCATATCGGTTTTTCCCTTTGTGATATATGTCATCCCTTATCTATATGTCTATCTTTTACTCAATTTTATTAAATATTGTTTCTCACCTTTTTCACAATTCTTTCTTCTTCCTCCATGGTTAACTACGTTAACTGATCTATATTGCAGGTATATATATATATATGCGCGCAATAGTATGAATTTATAAATGTAGGGAAGATGAAATTTCTTTGAACTATTTTTATGGATGATACGTAGATTAATTTTTGTTTATTTTTGTAGGTACTTCTATATATGTTAAATGTATTTTATCAACTTATGATGACATATAAATTTTCTTTTAACTATTTTTCATGAAAGTGGTTAAATTAATTTTCACATTTAAATATTCAAATTAAAATTTTGCGTAAAGACGCATAATCAAGAAACTTAATTAAAATTGAAAAGTAAGAAAATTGGACTGAATCCAACAACAACTCAAATTTGGATCTTGGTTAAAGTACCCAAAAATCTAAGTCAAATGTTAATTCTCAAGTTATTTCCACATACATAACACATAGAAATACCCTACACATATGCAGATAAATATAAACGAAATGTGCACAACAAATGTAGGAATTATTGACGCAAATTCCACCATTGAGAAAATCCACGGGTTCTCAAATTAGGACAAACACTAAGAGATAAGTATAAAAAGATTTACAAAACTCATCAACTAGATACACATACTAGAAGGCAATTTTTGTCCACTTGCTTTGCTACTACAGTCTTCAAGTGTGGAAGGGGCAAAACACTAACGTGGCCGTCAATTAGATTTTTCTTGAAATTTGCAAGATACTAAGGTGATCATGTAGAATGTATGGGATGAAATGTTTTTTGAAAAATTAACCGATTACGGAAATCACAAGGCACATTTCTATAATAGATTTCTGATTTATACGTAGAAAAAAAAAACTAGAAATTAAAAAAAAAAATCTTTAAAAACCCACGGACACAAAACTGATTTTTCTCAAACTGAAAACTCAGGGATGCTGATCACATTAAAACCCATAACATGCAACACATAGGTTTTGAATAAACAGTGAAGAAAATATAAATTTACCTACATTTTACAGATTCAATAATGTACCTATATATATTTGCAGTTTCACTAATTCACCTAGATTGTATGTGTAAGATATTTACGTATCTTTCCTTTTGTCTAACTTAACTTTATATACATTAATGCGCCTATATGTTATGTATATTAATTTATCAGAGAAGGATCAGTTATGATATTTGCAACAAAAAAAGAAAAATTGAACTGACCTGTCATTCCCACCCAACTCAAGATGGTAGACCATGCATTAAAATGCAAGCAAACGATATAGTTTATATGTACCATTGTTAAGTATATTTTTCAATGTCCCTCTACATAATTATGACACATGCACTGAGAAATCTCTCACACCTTATTATATATCCCACTCAATTTGTAAATTTAAACCAATAAATGAGATAGTAGCCAAATTTGCACTAAATCCCACCAAAGATATATGTTCAAAAATATTTTTTGGAAAAGGAAATTTGCTTACTTAGATCTCACCACCTCATTGATTATCATTAGAAGAGTTTGATTTAATATATCTATTAGACGAATCTCGAAATTCAAACTTATCTAACGCTCAATGGGGGTGAGGGTGTGAAAGTAAAAAAGTTTTACGATGAAAGAAGAAACCTTGCAATGGCTTATAAGAGTTGGACTATTCCCCATATTGTTAATTAATTTTATGTAGAACTTCAACTTTTTTCATGGTATCAAAACTGGTTGGCCCATGTTTGAAGCCCCACGTGCTCCGCATCACCCATTTCATGTTGTCCATGTATTTGGGTTGAAAATCACCACACATGAGCAAGGTGTGAGGATGTAATTATAAAAGAGTCCAACATTGGTAAAAGAAAAAAAAACCTTGCAATGACTTAAAAGAGGTTGAAATATTTATCATATTTTCAATTAGTTGAAGATAAGAAAAAAATTAGCTTCAAGGAAATAACTCTAATTTTCTTTTATTTTTATTATAAATAATGAGAAATCAGATTCATAAACAAAGGGCCAGCCAAAAGCCACAAAGGCGAATACAAATACAGAGGGAGTACATAAATAACATTTAAATAATAGATGGTATTTTCCCAACCAAATTCACAAAGGATGAAAACACCTTTGTCATGAAATCCAACAGGCTTGAATACATCAACAACATAAAGCAAAAGTAAAAATAAAAAAGTTACAAGGAGGGACAACAAACTCATACTGAGTTGCTGCAACTTATTCTGACTCATTATGAGTCAAACAGAAAACTAAAACTCGAAAAACAACTCGCACAACGACTCTGGTAAATCCATTGTACTTTATTCATTATTTGGGATTCAAATTTGATAAATAAGTTTGATGTCCTCATCATTATCATCCGCAGGTACTTGAATATTTTTCATATTTCTTTGGCTCTTCTTCAAGAAAGTTTTGAACCAGTTCGCCGAGCGTTTTGGGTACCTTGTCAGTGCACCATCATAGTCCACATAGTTAAGACCAAATCGACTACGATATCCCTCTGCCCATTCAAAGTTATCCAGTATCGACCATGCAAAGTATCCTTTTACTTTAGCACCCGATCTGCACACACATATAGAAAACAAAGCAACCAAATGCATTGATACGGATAATTAAATGTAAAATAAAATAAAAAGAATTGTAAGAAGGCATATATATATGTGTGTGTGTGTGTGTGTATATATATGTATAACACTATATATAGCCTTATTGAATTCCTAAACAAGGTACTAACTGAATTGCTGCTTGAAGGTGACAAAGGTGGTCACGATAGTAGTTGACTCTTATGGTATCATTAAGGGCTTGTTCGAGTGATAAGCTGCTATTAGTGAACTCATCGACGCCTGCAACATAATGAATTATTATATGCGTTGATAATTTTCTTTAAAATGAAATCTGCATTTAGTTTTTGAGTTTAGACTGCACCTGATTTAGTTATGTATACACATGTGAAACTTTGATAATGTAATTAATTAAGGCTTGAAAGTATTGCTTACCATTTTCAGTAATATAAATGGCTGGATCATTATACTTTTCCTTGGTATAAATCATAAGATCGTGAATTCCTTTTGGATAAATGTATAACCAATCCGAAGCAGCCTACAAGACCATTTAAAGATAATTGAAATTCTCATGAGTTATGTTTTTAAGCAGAAAAAATACATACTAATCCTCCAAATGCCAAAAACTTTTAAGTTCAAGTTGGATGTGTACCCGTGGACCAATGGGTTTTCCATTAACCTCAGCTGTCATAATATACACAAATATTAGAATCTAATTATTCTGAGAACTTAATTAATTGCTTGAAATAAGTTTTTAATTTGTACTCACTTGTCGCATTAACATGAGGATCATTTATGTAGCTTTCAGGGTCAGATGAATTCTCTAGTGGATTGCTTGCATATCTAGCAGAGTAGTAATTGATTCCTATAAAATCATATGACCCATTTAGAGAATCGGACTGCTCTTTTGTGAATTGAGGTAATCGTGATCCAACATATGTTCGCATGCTCCGGGGATAGTCACCAGTTGTGATTGGGTCCATAAACCTACAAAATATACAGATATTCCAAGCATAAACTCATGGTAGCATATAATGTCTTGCTAACTATATATATTTTTTAATTTTGTATAAAAAAGATAAAGTATTTATACATAAAATATTTAACTAGTTGATACATCCGATTGAAAAATACTAGGTGATATATATATGTATATTTCAATAATATATTTACCATCCAAACATAAAATCCAAAGCTCGATTTGCGGCATCTATATCTTTTTTTGCCTTCGAAGCAGGCTCAAACCAGTGTGTCACTACTGCTAATCCGATCGCACCATTTTGATATGCCTACATAAGAAAGTTCAAGAATATATATTAAGAGGTAGACAAAAATATCACCGTTGTTTATCTCAATATGCCAAGTATTCCTAATTTATTGTAACAAAATAATGCCTCAAATAGAATTTTTAATTAAGAACCAAATATTCAGTCCCAAATAAATAATTAATTAGACCTGGTATTTAGTCTTGTACAACTTCACAGTGGCTGCATGAGAAAGGAGTTGGTGGTGTGTCACCAAATATGGTTCAACAGCTGAATTTCCACCAATGCAGTTCAGTTTTTGCCAAGCAGAGCATCGTCCCGGTGCGTGAGTCCCGATTGCATAACCATGGTTACTTACAGTAAATGGCTCATTCAAAGTGAGCCAGTGCTTTACTCGGTCACCAAAATGCATAAAACAAAGATCTGCATAATCCTTAAAGTGATCCCTATATATACACATTTCAAAATGCATTTGTTACTAGTATTTACTTAAGTGAATAATCAATATTATTGGGAGGATAAAATTTCTTCACTTACACAATACGAGGACTTAATAAACCACCATACTCGTCAACTAAAGCTTGGGGAATATCCCAGTGAAAAAGTGTCACGAATGGCGTTAGACCTATATATAGCAGGATCAATCAATAAATTAAAATTTTATATGTTTACTGATTAAATGTTGTTTTATGAGTGCGCATGTAGATCTCATGATATATTAATGTAATGATGTTATATATGTGATAAGATAAAAACATCACCACTGCGTAGGAGTTCATCGATTAGATTGTTGTAGTATTTGATTCCTTCCATGTTAACTCCCCCGCTTAGCTTTCCATCTAATAATTCGAGCAAAACTATTAAATAAGTGAATACCTATCAACAAGTAGAAATTAAATTAAGTAGAACATGTTAAACTATAAACTAATTGGTCCCAATCAAATATATGGATTGAATCGTCAACATTACTTGGTAACAATCTTGACCATGAGATAGAGAACCTATAAGAATCCATCCCCATATTCTTCATGATGCCCACATCTTCCTATAATGGCACAAAAGGCATGCATTATCATATGAAAGAAGCTGAAAGTAAAGGTCTTGTCTTCAATATGTCTCATGTTTTCTTAAGGATCCAAAACTTAGTGTATATATACGTTGTGCTGATCATGATCATGATCAACTTCAAGAACAAAGGATGTATGAAATAAAATTGTGTGACGTTGGAACCTTGTAACGGTGATATTGATCAATAGCGATGTCTCCATTGCTTCGATTAACGATCCTTTCTGCAATTAATTAACCGAATTAATTTTTATTATCTACAAAGTAAGTAAAAAAATCTTGTGAAACTATTTAAATATGCATGTGTATGCATATAATGATTTTCACTTTACTTTTGAGGGAGATACCTTATATTTGATTCACGTAATGGTGATTGATTAAACATCATTGTATTAAAAGAAAAGTTGTGATCCCGTTGAGAAACAAAAGAATGGCTTAGCCAAGTGTCAATAACACATTTTAGCTAAGTGATATGATTAAACAGACCTGGATATTGGTGGGTGTAGTTATCCCATATGCTTGGTCCTCTGCCATGTTCATTCCAAGCACCTTCTACCTGAAATGTACGTATACAAAATATTTAAGAGTACATACAAAATGAATATGTATCAATATATCCATGCAGGGATGCTAATTGATTTGACGTTGAAATTAAACTAAACCTAAGTAACTATACGAAATTACAGATTAAAACAAATTAAAGTGTATTTAATTAGCTAAGCCCTAGAAGGGACTAGCCTGATAAGATGCGGAAGCTGCGCCAAATAGGAACTCTGGTTCAAGAAAATCAAAGCTTTCCCTGTGAAGCAAACCACATTTAACTGGTCGATCAGTATCGGCAGCATTGGTTTTTGTCGATGCGAAACCAATGAGTAGTGCCATACACAAAAGCAAAGAACGATACTGCATTGCCATAGTTAACTGTGAGTGTTTCTTGCGTGTCTTCCTACCATGCTGCATGGCGCCGTTTATATAGAGTACGTACGTACAACTGTACAAGTTAGAATAATAAATAACAACTTTTCTCTTTCTTTTTTTCTTCTATTATTTTCTGAAGACAACCGGGCTTTAAATGTAACGCCTCATTGAGCGTACTACTACGCGTGACTTATATTAATAGATGGAGTAAAATTTCTGTAACCAAAACGTAGAGCAATGGGTAATATTTAATCTGGAAACATTGGTAAACTAAAAATCTTATTAAATATAAGCATATAGTGTTCGGATAATGTTAGTCGGTTGTTTCGGGAAATATATGAAGGACTCGGTTATCTGGGCCAAAAACCTAAAGCTTATTATTATTTTTTAGAGAAGCCAATCCTAATTCAATCTTAAAATTAGGAGAAATGAGTGCAGGTACGCTTAAAGACGATTACTATGAGAGGAAAAAAAGGTAGCAAATAATCAAACTTTTTCCTTTTATATACTTTGTAGTTAGCAACTAGCAAGTCATCCAAATCTTCAAATGCGACTACACATTAACCTAAAATAGAATGGAGTTTCTTCGTGTTCATGTTATAATTTTGTATTTGTCCATTATTATCATACCTCTGTATCAAGGATATATTAACCTTGTCTATATATGTGTATATTAATATATATATATATGTGTATTTTCTTTATATTTCTTCATATTCCCTTTTCATTATGTCAATCCAATAGGAAAAATAAAAAAAACTCATCTTCCCTCCACGTCCATATAATTTTGCATTTTGTGACTTTCTTTGATAGACTTAGAGTGTATTACTAATACATAAGTTGACGAGTTATAATATGAGTACATTAAAAGTAAGGAAAATTAACGAAAAATTCAAAAAAACTTCTCTTTTAATGAAAAGTCATTTTTAAATGTATAGTGAATAGTACCAGGAAATGTGTAAATATGGTTTTTCATTAAAAGGGAAAGCAACTGATTTTTGTCAGGTACTGTTTGTGAGGATTTTGGATATCTATGAATCGTGTTGGTTCATCGAACATTGTTTTTGTATAGGAAAAACAAAAAATGAACGTCCCAAATCCAACATGATCATCTCTGGATTCTCTTTGTGAGGATTTTGGATATCTATGAATCGTGTTGGTTCATCGAACATTGTTTTTGTCAGGTACTGTTTGTGTTAAATTTTAAATTAAAAAATTTTAAATGATTTATAATTGCACAATGTAGAATGAACGGACTCGATTCATAAATTTTCAAAATCCTCGTAAAAAAATCCGACCAGAATCCGGATTCAGTATATTTTGTTTCCTCCCCATCCCTATGCCCATCCCCATATCCCATCTCCTCACTTATCGACTGACACCACCCATTCGCATTCACACGTTCTCTCACGAGCAACTCAATGTCACCACCTACCCACAATCACACGTCCTTTCGCCGGTATCTCCCCATCCCAAGCCAAGCCATAACCCAACCCTAAGAAAGCATAATCATTTACTAAATAATAATGTTATTTGGACACACAAAATTTGCCAAATTGCTAAAAAACTCTATGATACAAGTGAGTTTTATCTTTTCATTACTTTTCATTATATATTTTTTAGTACAAACATTATTAATACTTTAATTTACACCAAGAAAAAGAGGAAAAGTTTGAACCCCAACGCAGTGAGTTGAACATTTATACTTTAATCACTAGCACAATCCACCATTTGCTTCTCCATTAAATGTTAGACGTGGCAAATGTGAGTGACCAAGTTTTATGCTTACTTGGCTGCTTGGACAAAAATTTGACAAAGTAATCTCTACTAATTAATAAAAACCTCTTAGTCAACTAAAAGAGGATGAAAAAACAAATTAGTCTTCTATTACACAAAAAAAAAATGATGGGCAATAATGTAATTTCACATGTCCAAATTTTATTATTTTTTATTGAAGCCTCATCTAGAGATGATGTTAAAATACCTTCAATATTAAAAAAAAAAAAAGAACCAAAACAAAAACCTCTCACTCCCCCCACGTTCTCTCTCTCTCTCCCTCTCTCCCTCTCTCCCTCTCTCCCTCTCTCCTTCTCATTTTCTAAAAAAATGTGTTCATATACACAAAGTGTGTAAGCAAATACTAGTTTGAATAAAGATAACTTACAAAGGTCTCTAGCTAGAGGGAACTCCGGTTGTCATCTGATCATAATTCTTCTAGGATTTGCTTAGCTAGCTGACAATACGCATATTTCTAACCCTTGTTTCAAGTCAATATATAATATCATCTACTCTATGCAACATTCTATCCATTGATTAGTAATTAAGGGTTTTTTCTCTCCTAATTTGTAAAAAGGATTTGATTTTCCTTATACACACAACCATGAACAATATCTTCTTAATATTCCTCATCTTCTTCATTGATTGAAGCAAGCATGCATGCATTGACTTATTATTCGTTCAAACCAAGCCTAAACCCTAGGGACGAGTCAAAAACTAATGTGGAGTATCAAGTGTATATTCTCGTTCAAACCAGGCCTAAACCCTAGGGACGAGTCAAAAACTAATGTGGAGTATCAAGTGTATATTCTCTCAGGCCTAAACCCTAGGGACGAGTCAAAAACTAGTGTGGAGTATCAAGTGTATATTCTCTCTCTCTCTCTCTCTCTCTCTCTCTCTCTCTCTCTCTCTCTCTCTCTCCGTCCTCCACCACCTCCTCCTCCTGAAACGAAAACAGATCACTCATCAATACAACCCCAACGAATCCCAGTCGCTGCACCACTGTTGCATCACTGCCGACAGCATGATTTAGTAGTCCCGTGTCACCACCGGTTCTCCAGAAAGGCACAGGTCACTTGTCGACGTGAATGATGAAATGTACAGTTAGATCTTTTTGGTTCTGAAAAGCGGTGGGTCTCATAAAGAGATGGATTCGCATTTGCTATGGGATCACTTGACATACTAATTAACGATCTGATTAAAAGAAGGCATTACGTATATCTTTTTCCTGAGTTTATTTACCAGTACCTAAGGTCAATTTGATCTTTGCCTTAGTGTTTCAGATGTGTTATAGCGTTTTTGTCATGATACCGAGGAAGCTGGAGTGAGTTTAAGGAGTATCTACTAGCCTCGTGTAGGGATCCCCAAACCTTAATGCATGCAAAATTATTGGTAAGTCCAGCCCAGCCAGCCCAATTCCTTTACCACTTTTTTATAGGTATAGGTACGTCCACAAGTTTGAAATTATCATGAGTCAAATTACGTCAGGACTAATTAAACTTCATCGGTTAACCAGTTTTGCCGAACTTTAGGTCAATAGACCGTTATATTAGGTCCATGCGGACCATGCCTGTTAAGGATAGTATTAATGGTGATATAATAAGCCACTTGTCAAGAGATTAGCAAGGTTGTTAGAGTTAGTTATAGTGTGACTTAGACAGCAAGTTTTATAAAGAGAATATATAGTCTTAGATGAGATAAGATTGTATTCATTCAGAAATATACAATATATGAAAGTTTTTAACTTCTCTCTCTCTATCTTCTCTTCTCTCTCGACTCACCTCTCTCTCTATCTCTCAAGTGTAATACTGCATATTCTTCTTTGTGGTTATAGCTTGGTTTACATGGTATCTTCGCCGGATTAGCTAATCGCTCGGGTGAAAATCTTCGATCTTGGACTGCTTCCGCTCATCAGTTCTGATTTCTGTAATGTTTCTGATATTTGTGTGCTCTGTCTAAATCTTTCTGGAGCTCATCTTCTTCTGTATATTACTCTTCTTGGCGTTTGTCTTCTGTGCACACCAAGTGTTCGATACAAGTTCTCAATCATCGTTCTTGAACAAGTTTTCTGAATTCTTGCATCAATGATTACTCCTTCTCAATTACAGATTCTTCAGTCTCCCATTACTTCTCTCATCTCCACTGTTTCAACATCTGTGACAGTGAAGCTTGATGAATCAAACTATCTGGTTTGGCATTTTCAGATGCAGCTTCTTCTCGAAGGGCATGGTATTTTGGGTTTTGTGGATGGTTCTACCCCCTGTCCTATTCGATTTACAAGGTCTACTTCTAGTGGGTCTGAGGTTGATTCTCAAGGAACTACTTCTCAAACAGAATCTGATGATTACAAGATTTGGAAGATGCATGATCGTGCCTTAATGCAGTTGATTACTGCAACTCTTTCCCCGTCTGCCGTTTCTTGCGTGATAGGAAGTACTAGTGCTCAGGATCTCTGGACAAGACTTAAGGAACAATTTTCAATTGTTACACGAGCTAGTATCTTCCAAATGAAGTCAGCGTTGCAGAATATCAAAAAGGGTAATGATTCTATTTCCTTGTATTTACAACGCATTAAGGAGGCTCGGGATTATCTTTCTGCAGCTGGGGTTCCATTTGATGATGATGATATAGTTATACTTACCCTTAATGGCTTATCATCTGAGTATAACACGATTAGATCAATCATTAGAGGCAGGGATCATGTTATTTCAATTAAAGATCTGTGTTCTCAGTTGCTTGCTGAAGAAGCAATGCTTGAAAATGTGTCTGCAACTCCTTTTCTTACTGCAATGGTTGCGGATACTGGTGGGTCTCAGCCACACTTTAAGGGAACATTTGATCAATCGCATCTTTACAATAATCACCCTGCTGCTTCTTCATATCGTCCTTCTTACAACAAGAACAAAGGCAAAGGAAAGTTTCAATATGGTTCTAAATTTGGGACTAATAAGCCATTTTACCCGACTCAAGGTCGTGGGATTCTTGGAACTTCTCCACAACAGCAGTTGTCTTCTTCTTGCACTTCCTGTCAAATCTGTGGCAAATATGGACATCTTGCTGATACTTGCCGATTTCGGAATCTTGATTCTGCAGTTGGTGATGGGTGTCAAATCTGTGGAAAAAGGAATCATAGTGCAAAGTTCTGTCACTTTAGGAATGCAAATTTACCATCTACTGCTGGATCTATGAATGATATGCATGTCAATGCTTCTGCTCCACCC